ATAATAATAATAATAATAATAATAATAACAATAATAATAATAATAAAATGAAAATGTAAATTCGTAAAATAGAAGTAGAGCATCGCGGCCAGCAACATTGAATAATTTCCTTAAAATGTAAATCATCTTACAATATATCTCTTAAATGAATGATTGCTATAAAAAAGTTTATCGTGCTTGTTATTCGGTAACCAAACACAGCAGTTCGCGCTTCTCTTCTATGAATTCTCCTCATAGCTTAAAGCATAATGCACTTTTTAGAACCAGGTAACGAATACCCTGCAACAAGTGCCATTGCAACTCGTGTATAGATCATGAAATTACATTAATTTAGATCTTTGAATATACTGATCAAGCTCAAACTGAATACATTGAAAAAAAAACGCAACAAGATAATTCTTCTGTATTAAAATATTGAACTTAAAAAGAAAATAGAATGTTATGACTTTCAAAGCAGATGAAAAAAAAAGTTATTGTGTGAACTATGCACGAAGATGCACGGCATTTATTTAATTCGTTAATAACTAAATTAACTCGTTGCCGATAATCTAAATTTGCACAAAGGGAAGCTTCGTGTGTGCTGGACTATACAATAATATTCGAGTTCGATTTTTTTCAGACTTATTCTTAAAGTTATTACTTCGTTTTTATGTACACATATACATATACACACAGGGGTATGTATGCACATGTAACGGTTAAACGAAATGGCTCGTCTCTCAAAACGGTCGATTCACTTTGTAAATATATCGCAAAGCATAGCAAAAAAAATACTGAAAAAGAAAGAATAAGAAGAAAAAGAAACAAATACAGTCGATTTTCGTCAAAAATGTTAAGAAGACACATCATTAGTTAGTTCCCGCTCTAAAATGATAAGTATTAGGAAATTTTCTTTAATATTAATTATAGGAAAAGTATTGGGTTACTTTAACGATAATGGAAAGAACGAAATGATCACTATGAAATTACTACGAAATTACTTTTTACAATTTTTCGAAAATTTTATGAAATCTGAAAAACTAATCGTGAGTCACTAACTCGTTCGTTACAATGTTAAAATTGTATACTTAGTTAAACGTTTTAATAAAGCATTTTTTTTTTTTTTCATTACTCGTCGAATTTGACTTAATATATATGTACGAACTATCACTAATCTATCGAACAATTTATTCTTAATTTTCGCTATTTTCTTTGTTCATAAATAAAG